AAGCTCCGGAAGTGTTCCGCATCTTCCTCGCGCACGCACAACGACAGTCAGGAAGGAAGCTGAAAATCTGGCAGAGTGACGGGGCCAAGGAATTCCGCAGCAACGAACAGGAGAGTGTTCTCACCGAGAAGGGGATCAAGGATGAGATCTCACTCCCCTACGCTCACCAGCAGCAAGGCGTCGCAGAGAGGGTTAATCGCACCCTCATGACAAAAGTGCGCGCCCTCATGAACCAGTCCGGCCTGCCGAAGAAGTTTTGGCCCTACGCCATGAACCACGCGGTGCGCCTGCACAACCTCCTCTCTACCACTGCCAACAGGGACAACCTGTCCCCTCACATGAAGTGGACCGGCTCAAGGGGAGACCCCTCCATGCTAAGGGTCTGGGGGTGCATGGTGCAGTACCGGCCTACATCGGCCACCATCGGCAAGTTCGCTCACCGCGCGCGCTGGGGAGTTCATTTGGGTCTCAGTAATGAACACAAGGGTTGGCTCATCCTCGACATGGATAGCAAGGAAGTTGTTCCCGCGCGTGATATTCTCTTTTACGAGCGGCTCACCTTGAAGCAGTGGATCGAGGACGAGCGACGCAACGAGGCACGCGGCTACGCCAACAGCGGTCGCAGCTTTGCGACTCCAGAAGTCGAAGCAGCAGCAGCAGCACTGGACCGCGACGACACCGACGAACACCCCAGCATCCCGCCTTGCCCGCGCGACGACGACGACGATGACAGTGACGATGACCCCACGCCAGGGCCGTCACGGCGCCAAGCAGAGCCAAGCACCACAACGCCCGGCTACGAAAGCGGAGACGACGACGTGGTAGAAGTCACCATCAACACAGACACCACCAATGTGTCAGGCCTGCAACTTCTCGGCCTACACACGTCCGTCACTACCCTCGCACGGGCAGTGGAGCCAAAGAATCCTCGCCAGGCCCTAACCGGCCCTCACGCCAAGGAGTGGCGTGCCGCGATGGATGCGGAGCTGAAAGCGCTGGAATCTCGAGACACATGGGTCCTAGTCGATCGTGCAGCAGTGAAGGGGAGGAGGGTACTCAGTGGAAAGTGGGTTTTTTCGCTTGAAGACCAACGCTGACGGCACCATCGAACGTTTTAAAGCGCGCTGGGTCGTACGTGGGTACGATCAGCGCCACGGCATCGACTTCGACCAGACCTTCGCTCCCGTCAGTCATCACACCTCCGTCAGGATTCTACTCGCCATTGCCGCCGCTAAGCACCTGCCACTGCGACAGATCGACGTGAAGAACGCGTTTCTATACGCGTTGGTGGACGCTACCATCTTCGTGGAACAGCCTCACACCTACGGAGAAGGGGATCCTAGGGTCTGTCAGCTGAAGAAGTCCCTCTACGGGATCAAGCAGGCGCCTCGTCTCTGGCAGTAGCATCTGCACAAAATTTTCCTGGAGATCGGTTTCAAGCAGCTGCCGCACGACCCGGGAATGTATCGCCTTCACTTCAGCGGCGACTACATTCTCCTGACAGTTTACGTCGACGACCTGCTGTACACGGGCACCTGCAACAAACTCCTTGACCAGTTCGAGGAAAACCTGGCGCAACGCGTTGACATCACCATCAACCACATCGTGAAGCAGTTTCTGGGGCTGAACATCACCTACGCGCCAGAGGCAATTCACCTGTCAGCCTCCAAATACGCAGAGCAGCTGGGGGAACGCTTTAACATCTCACCCGCACCACTCTCAACTCCCTACCGTAACCCCAGTGCCAACTACAAACTGGACAACAAACCTCTGTCACCCGCAGGACTCCAAATGTACCAGCAGAAATTGGGGTGTCTGCTATTCGCCTCTGTCACCTGCCGACCCGACCTTTCGTACATCGCTAGCCAACTGGCGCAGTACTCCCGCAAGCCAGTAGCTGAGAACCAGCTGGACCTGGAGCGCGCCCTGCAGTACTTCATTTCCACACCTGACATCGGGCTCTCCTACTCCACGCTGACGACGACCTCCTTCAATCTCAACGGCTACGTGGACGCAGATCATGCCGCTGACCCTGCAAATCGACGGTCCCGAACCGGCTTCGTTTTCCGACTGGAACCAACAGGACCAATCTCCTGGAACTCACAGAAGCAGGAGCTGGTTGCCCTGTCATCAGCTGAAGCAGAATACATCGCCGCGACAGCAGCAGTTCGCGAAGGCCTGTATCTGCAGGAGCTGTTACAGGAGGCGAAAATTCCAACTTCGCCCACCTTTCGTCTTCACTGCGACAACCAGAGCGCCATCAAAATCGCAAACAAGCCAGGTTTCGTGAACCGCACGAATCACATCGCGCTTCGCTATTTCTTCGTCAAGGACGAAATTGACCAGGGGAAAGTTGACCTCGCGTACTGCCCGACTACTGAGATGGCAGCAGATTTCCTCACCAAGCGTCTGCCACGTCAGCAGTACAAGCACTGCTCTGACCTCACCGGAGTAGTCAAGCGAGTCAGCTCCTCCTGCGCCCAGGAATGAAGGGGACTGTTACGATATGAAATTACATGAGAAGGCATTCCTGTATGCTGCAGGAGCCGACTCTACCGAGTACGAAGTCGAGGAGTCAGAAGAGTCGAAGCGACGCAGCAACCGTCTGACCAAGACCGATGCAGGCAGAAACATTTGAACTGAAAAGAGCAGGAACAGGTTTGAAACGGGTTCCCGCGCCGCACGGTTTGAATTCGCTGAAATAAGGGAATGTACCCCTTAGAGTACATGGCTAGTCTAGGTCTTTTCGTATTCCCTTGTATTCTTATATAAACCCGATGTATGCATGCTTTTAACAACTCAGTCATTTACATTCACTCTGACCTGAGATTCAAACTTCCGCTGCAACACTACTCTGCGATCAACCCTGAGCGATCCTTCGCTAAGTCCCACTTGGGATTGTAACAGCATGGTTTGGATTTAATGAGTATGTGTGAATGTTATTTGGCTTGAGCAGATATCTGAAGTGACTCCTCTGCTCGAGAGCATTCAGACGAACCAAGGATTGCTTCAATCGGAGCACGAATGCGAAAGTTACGACCGTTTGAAGTTCGTATGTTCTTCAAATTTGGTTGCGGCGACTACCGGAATTTGCGGAGTGACTCAATATGGGGTATAGAATTTTGGGGGTTGGGAAATTCGTCACTTTTACTGTAGATGATGCCAAGTGGTTGGGAGAAGCCAAACCAGGTTTGCAAGTGTGGCCAAGTTGGGTGAGGTGGATGGCATGGGTTGGGAAAATGACAAATGTCAAAGTTGGGGTGCCTATAGGGAGGGGAATCGTGTGCTTATGGGTTTGACTGGTTGGGGACTCCCTTTGGGACCTTCCCTCTCGTCCTCCTCATCCCCATCTATCTGGTTCAGTGCTACTCTAATTCCCTTGTGTGTTTCTTGGGAGACAATTGTGAGTGAGCTAAGTTTCTGTGGCAGTATACCCCCCGGTGCGCCGAAATTCATAACTACAGCTTTATTTCACCTATTGATACGATTCAAATTGGGAACTGTAGCCACGGTCTAGGGCTACAAGAAATCTGAAATTTGTGAAGTTTCAACGGTGCACGTTTTGTCAATGGCGTTTCTTGTGAAGTCGACATTTCTGTCCAAAATATTGTCCAACGGTTTTGAGATTTTTCTGCCCCTAACCTTCACAGACTCCGTCCTTAATTTCTAACAGTATCAACCTCTGGAGACATAAAACTTGAGTGCTTAGCAAGGAGCCTTTGTAGTAGAAGTTGACTTGAGGAGCCTGAAGGAGAAGCTTGGGAAGGAGCTTAGAAGCTTGGATTGCATTGTTGTCATTGAAGAACCTTCTTGGGAAGTTGAAGAGGTACTTGTTGGAGTTGAATAAGAGTAGAGCATGTGATGGTGATTGAGCACTTGATGAGTTGGATAAGATTTGGTGAGTAGGAAAGAAGAGCACATGGGAAATGATGAAGAGTCATGTGCCTTATGGTGGGACTTGGAGATGAATAGTGAGAGTTGTTCTAAGTCTTGGTTGAGTTGGATTAGGAAGGGCCATGGTGGTTGAAAAAAGTTGAGGAGTTGGTGGGCTTGGCTTGGAAAATATGAGTTGGAAAAGGAAAGTCTTGGTGGTTGGGTAATTTGAATGGGTTTGGAGGAGTTGGGTAACTTTGGGAAGGTAGGAAGGAAAGTTACGAGGGTATTTCGAGGGAAAGGGGTTGGAGTGGAAAACTGGGTAGCACGTGACGCGTGTGCTATTCACAACATCCCCTGGTATCATCCCCGGGTCTCATATTTCCTAGTGTATTACACTTGGTTGGACTAAAGCGCCTGTGATTGGGTAACGATAGGCGAGATTTGTGACGAGCAGTTTGGAAAACACAGACGAAACCTCAGTTCGTCCACCCAAAAGCCAATCGAGCCCCTCAGGCATGGAAAGCTACCACACCGAGACTCAGAACTCTGTATCAGCCCGACTTCTAGTAACTCCCTGCATTTTTCCTTGCATATGTCCTCATCCCGTGGTGTCATCCCCGGGTCTCATATTTCCTAGTGTATTACACTTGGTTGGACTAAAGCGCCTGTGATTGGGTAACGATATGCGAGATTTGTGACGAGCAGTTTGGAAAACACAGACGAAACCTCAGTTCGTCCACGCAAAATCCAACCGAGCCCCTCAGGCATGGAAAGCTACCACAGCTCCAGCAGAGTCGCAATTCCATGCGACCAACTGAAACGACAAGATACAATTCGCCCACCTTGTATCGAAAAGGCAGAGCAAAACTCTCAGCCTTGATTCTTAGTACCTCCGCTTAGTATGGTTCCTCCGCATGTACCTCCGCGAGCAAGATGCTGGCCCGAGCACAATGTCCTCTAACATAGCAGCCTATTATATCGCATTTCGGAGCTCGTAACAGGTGACTTGCGAACAAGTTTATAAGCGGATAAGGCACTAATTGGGGAGTAAAGACTCGTCCAATGTCGTGCACCGTCGCACCGCGATCGCATGTTACGAGGTAGCGAGTTCGTAGCATCCCGAAATGCGTTCTTACTTTTCTGTGGTCAGCTGCGGAGCCCGGAAACGTGATGGCGTGAATCAGAATGCGCACGGACCCGTGTCAAGTGCGAGTGGCATGTGTGTGGGGTGATTGTGTGTGTGCGTGTGTGTGTGTGTGTGCGCGCACGCGGAAGTGTGTGCGTGCGTGCACGTGCGCGTGCGCGTGCGTGCGTGCGTGCGTGCGTGCGTGCAAGCGTGCGTGCGTGCGGGTGCGCGTGCGTGCGTGCGTGCGTGCGCGTACGTGCGTGCGTGCGCTTGCGCGTGCGTGCCCGTCCGCGTGCGTACGTGCGTGCGTGCGTGCGCGTGTGCAGCGGTATGTATTCATGTGCGTGAGTGCATGTGCATAGAAATGCGCTACCCTCATTTTGCCAGACGTCCCTCAGCCTTCACATCGCGGTGCTCTCACCTCCCTTTCCACCACCTGCCATCTGTGCCTCGAGACACGACACACATCCTCTTTTACTCGGACACCTGACACCTGTTTTTTACCTCCCCTTCGCTCTCTCCCCTCCCCTTCCTTCTCTCCCCTTCCCCCTCTCCCCTTCCCTCTCTCCCTCCCCCCTCCCTCTCTCCCCTTCCCTCTCTCCCTCCCCCCTCCCTCTCTCCCCTTCCCTCTCTCCCTCCCTCGTCCCTCTCTCCCCTTCCCTCTCTCCCTCCCCCCCCCCCCTCTCTCCCCTTCCCTTTCTCCCTCCCCCCTCCCTCTCTCCCCTTCCCTCTCTCCTCCTCCCGCCCGCAGCTGTTCTCAGGTCAGCCCATCCACGCCATGAGCAGCTCGCTCCTCTCCCACCCCTCCACCCACCCATTCCCCTCCCCAGCTGCCGCACACACTGACGTCAACTTGGGTGCTCGTACTCCTCCCACTTCTCCCACACCTCCTCTCCTCGGACTCCCACCCACCAGCTCTCCCACCCTCCAGCACCCGCCACCCCTCTTTCGCCCTCTTCTTATTCCGTCTGGAAACATTCTAGTAACCTTCTCCATGTTCCTTGTGCTGTGATTGCTGCCCCCTCCCCCTCCCCCTCCTCTCCCTGTTAACTCACCCCCTCCCCCCCCCCCCCCCCCCCCTCCTCCCCCACCAACATTCCTCATGTCCGCAGCAAGGTTTGCTTGCCAGCCAGCCCTCGCCACGCGCTGACCCTGCTAGCTTTCCTGCTCGAAGCTGAGGTGTATGTAAGCAGGGGAAGGTGAGGAGGGTGTGGGTGTGGGCTATGGTGAGAGAGGGGAGGGGGAGTGGGAGGGGGAGGTGGGGAGGTTGAGTGCTGTGGTGGCGGCCATGAGTGTGGAGAGCCCTTTCTTTCTCGCCTTCTTCTTTCCCATCTCCCCTCCCTTCCCGTCCATCACCCCTCCCCTCACCATAGCGCATCTCTCGCTTAGGCCATACGCCTGCCCTCTCATCCCACCTCCCCATCTCCTCATCCCACCTCCCCATCTCCTCATCCCCTCTTCCCTTCTCGAGGTCCCGGGTTCCCATGACAGCTGCCTCCCTCCTCATCTCGCCCCCCTCATTTCCTCTCTTCCTCCATGTGAATCATCATTATCGGTCAAACCTCCTCATCTAATCTCCCCTTCATGCCTGGCACCACCGTTCCCTGCCATCCCATCCCTCCTTCATGCTTCCCATCACCTTTCTCTGCCATCCTAATTCCCCGTCATGCCTCCAATCACCTTTCCACCCATCCGTCCCCTTTTGACCTCTTCTCCCCTCGTTTCCACCCCCATCCATCCCCTTTTGACCTAGTCTCCCCTCATTTCCACCTCCTCATCTCATCTCCCCTTCATGCCTCCCACCACCTCTCCTTGCCTTCCCATCCCCCCCTTTTGCATCCTTTCAAGAACCTTCCCCCCTTCCCTTCATTCCCTGCCCATCCTTCCCTCCCCTTACTCCCCTCCCCTTCCTCCCCATCCCTGCCCTTCCCTCCATGCCCTTCCCTTCTCTTCCGGTTTTGCATACAAGTCAGCACGTGTGCCAATTCCCTCTGCTCCAGCTACAAACAGGACAAAGCATGGCCCAAGCAAACTTGGCACTCCGCAACCCCATCGCCCGCACTCCCCTTCCCCTGCTCTCCTCTCCTCTCCTGTCACTCCTGTGCTTCTGTCTTCCTCCCCTCCCTCCCATCAGGACATCCCGGTGCGTGCCCGTTCCCCCTTCATCGCAAGCACTCCTTCCCCCACGCTATCTCTCCTTCCCTCACGCTGTCTTTCCTTCACGGTCGCGTAACATGCATGAATGCTTTGCTTTTCCTCCCTCCTATCCTCTACATCTCATCTTCTTGTCTCACCTCTCACTCACCTCTCACCCTTTCCTCACTCTCCCCCTTCCTCCCCCCCTAGTCCCCTCTCCTCTGTGTGTTTGCCTTCGTTTCCCCACCTTATCCCTCTTGTTAGTGAGTCACACCGTTCGCTCTCCTTATATGCCTTGCCCCAAAATCATCTTCAATCCTTCTTGCCATTCATATCCCTTCCCTTCCATTCATCTCCCTTCCCTGCCATTCATCTCCTTACCCTGCCATTCATCTCCCTTCCCTCCCATTCAGGAGTTAGAATTCATCTCCCTGCCCCCACATCTCTCTTCCTTCCCGGCAGTGTTGAAGCAGAGGGGCAACGGTTGCAAGCAGAGACGCAGCCAGTGGATGTTTTATACCACCTTATGTTTCAAGTGTGTTGTATAATATGAAAGCATATGATTGGATTATTGTCAGACACATGCAGCCTTATGTGTAAATGTACTGCACTATGTGCAAGACCATGCCACTTAGCATAGTATAGAAGCTCTCACTCTTGCCCTGCAGAAAATGTAGACAACTACATTGTCACTCAACGGTTGTGTCATGCCCTGATGGAATGAGGCAAGTTGAATCATGGAAACTCCACATACACTTGTGCCTAAAATAGTCAGGGAAAGGGGGAGAATGCGAGAGACGGTGGAGGTGAAAAACAGAAAGGCGATGATGCTAGCATGGGCTGTAATGGCACAACATGATGGAGTTGATAGGAAAAAAGGGGAGAGGGAAAGGAGAAGGGGGAAGAGAAAGAAAGGAGGAGAAAGGAAGTGGGGGTGGAGGGAAAGGTGGAGATAGTAAGAGGGTGGACAGGGACGACGGAAGAGGTGAAACAGGGAAGAGAGGAAACATGGACAACGGGAAGGAAGGAAGGAAGGGAGGTGATATGATGAGGGGAGAGAGGGAATAGGGTTTCAGGGAAGTGAGGAAACTGGGAGCACGGGAAAGAGGGACTGGAGGTGCTAGGATGACCGCTGTGAGGGAATAGGAAGACACGGAAGAGAGGAAACGGGGACTACGGGAAAAAGTGAAGTGAGGTGCCAGGGTTTATGGGAGAGAGGGAAGGGATGTGATAGGATGCGGGGAGCGAGGGGCAGCGGTGATAGCCCCAACAGGGAAAGTGGAAACAGAGGGACGGGAGGGAACTCAGGAGGGCGATGGGGCACATGAATGGGGAAACTGAGAGCCCGGAGAGGGGAAACAGAGAGCAAGGAGGTGGGAAACAGAGGGCAAGGAGGGGGGAAACAGAGGGCAATGAGGGGGGAGACAGAGGGCAAGGAATGAGGGAAACTGGGGGGAAGCACTTGTAAAAAGAGAGGAAGCATAGGGGGGAATGCGGGGAAGCAGAGGGATGGGAGATGAGTGGGAGCAGGTGGGGATATGAGAGGGAATAGGAAGGAAATGAGAGGGTGCAGGGGTTAAAATGGGAGGGAGAAGATGGGGAAATGAGAGGGAGCAGGGGGTGAAATGATATGGCGTTGGGCATAGGGAGGATATGGCATTGGGCATAGGGAGGATATGACATTGGGCATATGGAGGATACGGCATTAGGCATAGGGACAATGTGGCACTGGGGGAAGAGAGGATATGGCAGTGGGGAAAGGTAGGATATCACACTTGGGGAAGAGAGGATATGGAAATGGGAGAAGGGAGGATATGGTAGTGGGGGAAGGGAGGGTATGGCAGTGGGGGTAGGGAGGATACGGCAGTGTGGGAAGGGAAGATATGTCATTGGTAGAATATCGCAGGGAAAGGTAAGAGAGGGAAGGGAACAAAAAGGGAAACTGAAGGTTCGGGAAGGAAACAAGCGAGAAATATCTGAAAGGGGAGGTTTAGTGAGGGAAGCCAAGGGAAGGGTTTAGGGTGAAGAGGGAGGGAAGGGAAGGACTGATGGCATATATGGTGTCAGTTACGCAAGCGGATGGATCGGAATGGATGGAAAACAGAAGCATGCGACCAGAATATTGGAGACAAGAAAATAATATCTCCTCCCTTCCCCCACTGACTCCCTTCTCTTATGGTTGGAAGGAAGGTAGGACAGAGAGGGATGGACGGTGATGGCGGAGAGGGCCGGAAGATGGTGTGCAGGGAGGAGGGGATATAAGGATGATAGTTTGAAATGAAGGGGGGGGAAGCGATAGGAAACGGAAGCACAGATGCGAGAAGAGTGGAGGCCAGAGATATAGATATGGCGCGGAATGGAATGAAGGGGAACCTCGGAAAAGCTGGGAAAGGGTGAGATGGGAAGTGATAAGTAAGGGGAGAGAGGTGCAGGGAAGGGTAGGGGAGGGATGGGAAAGGGAGGGAAGAGGATGGAAGATTTGTGGTGCTAACGTACCACGAGGAGTTGTGAAGCTCCGGAAACTCCATGACAACATTAAGACCCGAGGTCATGAGAGTAGTCCCGGTAACTGTAGAGGGAAAAGCCATGTGAATCAATGGATAGGTTGATCTTATAGTACACGTTGAGAAAGACGGCTCCAACGACATGTGCTTACCGAACGGGGACTTTGCGAGGACGTTTAAACGGGGCACGGACGTCATATGGAAAACGCTCATCCACGTCCGCGACTTGATGAGTCGTCTGGGGAGGGGACAGGTACATCACGACATACAATTTAGTGGAACTCAATGTTAACCATGAATTCAAACTACCACTTAGGGTATCTCACACTCTCCATAAAAACCACCAACCTATAGAAAAGGGACGCCCAACCCGTCTTGGTCGTACTCTGTCCACTGTGCGACGTCTCGTACGTGCCCACGAAGCTGGACATGCGGTGACGCCCTGACTAGTGAAGACAAATGAGCCGGATGGGGGGGTTGCCGGTGAAAATGGGGAGATGAAAGGTGCGCGAAACACCCCTCGCTTAGGTGTGGACGGTTCGCGAACCGTTGATGTGTCAATGTGTAGTACATCACCATCAAACACTCATCCCAATCCTGCACCTCCGACATCGCCATTCGTGCCCGATGTGCCCACCCCACGTGTCACAAATGCACCACTAGCCCCTCTCCCCGCCAACGACACCGCTTCTTCAACCCGCAACCCCACATCGGTGCTTCCGCCCGCACTGTGAACCCTCACATCATCCTCTATTGGTCCCTCCTCCCTCCCTCCCTCTACTTCCACCGCCAACCCCTCATCCTCATCCTCCTCCACCTCCTCCTCTTCCTCCTCGTGTACATTCGTTTCCTCTACCACTACCCCCTGGCCACAATTTGAATCAATCCCCCCCCTCCCTTCTCTTATGTCGAACCATCGGTCCATGACCGCATCCACCCAACTCCAATCCATTGCCCACAACACCCTGTCTTTTTTCCCCCGTCTCACCCGTGTTATTTTGCGAACACGAATACGCCACTCTTTCACAACCCTCTCCTCCGTGTGGTTTCAGTGAAACACCGTCAATGCCACCCGAGCCTCCATACTGTCAAGAAAGGCAACGCGCTTCGGCGTTTACTTTGTTATCAATGAGTGGAACAATTCATTGACCCAATTGCTAGCCCCTGTTACATACGCCGCCATTGGACCAGGCCCACAGTTATTGGAAAGCCACTCTTTAAAGGCAACATGCGTCTCTGAACCCGGCTCATACAATGCATTTTCCTCACCCCATCTTTCGGTGACGCAACGTGGTGTTTTGCCATCTCGCGCACAACACGTGTGTAAGCCTGCCCAATGACCCGCACACAAAGCCATCTCATCCGCAACCTCCTGTGGCTCCATCGGATGACCCGCTTCTGCTTTAGCTGCACAACGCAACACCACGTGGTGGAATTGAATGCCAAGACGCTGAACCACCAACACTTCCTCCACGCTGCTCTATGTGTCCCCTTCACTGCAGCCCCCGACTCCCCGTGCACGTTTTTTACCCCTTCTCTCATGCCATCTTTTCTCACGTCCCTCCGTCCCGTTCCCCAATGTCCCATCCTGCTATATCCTCCCCCCCCCCCCCCCCCCCCCCCCCCTCCCTCTGTAGGCTCTCCCGTTTGCTGCCCTGGCGCCATAACTCCACCCGAGCAGTCTTCGCCACATTGAGGGAGACAGTATGTCAAAAGGGATGTTACGCCCAATCATATTGCAATCAGCATTGACATCGAAAGTTATAGGGTATCAACTTACCCGACGACCATCCCTCCGTCTTCTCGATGTCAACCGGCGGGAACTCGCTGCTCAGTAGAGATTCGGCCGTCTCTCGGATGTATTCGTTGCAAATGCCCTCTTGTATGGCATGTGTGGGATGCGGATCGAAGTCAAAAAGAGGATCAACATAACCCCACTTTATCCCCAATACCTGAGCAACCTCATCCGCTTGTCATCCGCCTCCGCTCTCCTCTTTACACCCCGCTTCAGTTTGCACCTCCACACTCCCTCCTCTCCCACCCCTCTCCTCAATCTCCGCTTCGACTGCCCCATCCTGCTCCGCGACACATCGCCGCTTGGCCGGCGGTCGTACCCCTTTTGTCCTATCTCTAAGTACCTTCCGCATCTCCTCGAACGCCCACTTCGCCGGAGCCTTGGCCTTTGCATCAAACTTGATCGTTTCCAACTTTCCGCAAACAGCCTTGATAATTGTTTTGTTCGCTGAACCCGCCGTCATCTGACCAAGATCCCCTTTTCCCATGGTTAACCATTCCCACAACTCTTCCCGTTGCACCAACCACAATTCGGAGCAGGTTTTGGCCTGAGACACCTTCATGGTACTGCGTGCTTCCACAAAGTGCTTTACAAACAGTTTTGTAAGAGCGCGACATTTGTGCCAGATGTCCATCTGATGGTTAATACCTGTACCTTCCAACACTCTCTTGAACGATCCTACATCGTCCGATATAATGCCCGCAACATTGAACCCCCATTCCTTCAGCATCTCTAAGCCACGTCTGAAAGCCAACTCTGATACCCCAGTTCCTTTTTTTGAAATCGTCACACTCAGCAATATCTTACGCGATCGGGGATCCATGAGCGTGACAGTGCACCACTGCGCCTCTCTAGCCTGTGACCAATGGCCATCTACGCATATGTACTCGTCTCCCGCCTTTTGACGCAATTGCATGTCTCGTCTAATGTTTGCCATGCACTCCTCACCGTTCACTATTGTTACAATCCCAAGTGGGACTTAGCGAAGGATCGCTCAGGGTTGATCGCAGAGTAGTGTTGCAGCGGAAGTTTGAATCTCAGGTCAGAGTGAATGTAAATGACTGAGTTAATAAAAGCATGCATACATCGGGTTTATATAAGAGTACAGGGGAATACGAAAAGACCTAGAATAGCCATGTACTCTAAGGGGTACATTCCCTTATTCTAACCAAATTCAAACCGTGCGGCGCGGGAACCCGTTTCAAACCTGTTCCCGCTCTTTTCACTTCAAATGTTTCTGCCTGCATCTGTCTTGGTCAGACGGTTGCTGCGTCGCTTCGACTCTTCTGACTCCTCGACTTCGTACTCGGTAGAGTCGGCTCCTGCAGCATACAGGAATGCCTACTCGTGCAATTTCATATCGTAACACTCCCCTTCATTCCTGGGCGCAGGAGGAGCTGACTCGCTTGACTACTCCGGTGAGGTCAGAGCAGTGCTTGTACTGCTGACGTGGCAGGCGCTTGGTGAGGAAGTCTGCTGCCATCTCAGTAGTCGGGCAGTAGGCGAGGTCAACTTTTCCTTGGTCAATTTCGTCCTTGACGAAAAAGTACCGAAGTGCGATGTGCTTCGTGCGGTTCACGAAACCTGGCTTGTTCGCGATCCTGATGGTACTCTGGTTGTCGCAGTGAAGGCGAAAGGTTGGCGAAGTTGGAATTTTCGCCTCCTGTAGCAGCTCCTGCAGGTACAGGCCTTCGCGAACTGCTGCTGTCGCGGCGATGTATTCTGCTTCGGCCGATGACAGGGCAACCAGCTCCTGCTTCTGTGAGTTCCAGGAGATTGGCCCAGTAGGTTCCAGGCGAAAAACAAAGCCCGTTCGGGACCGTCGATTTGCAGGATCAGCTGCGTGATCCGCGTCCACGTAGCCGTTGAGGTTGAAGGAGGTCGTCGTCAGCGTGGAGTAGGAGAGCCCGATGTCAGGTGTGGAGATGAAGTACTGCAGGGCGCGCTCCAGGTCCAACTGGCTTGCGAGAATACTGCGCCAGTTGGCTAGCGATGTACGAGAGGTCGGGTCGGCAGGTGACAGAGGCGAATAGCAGGCACCCCAACTTCTGCTGGTACATTTGGAGTCCTGCGGGTGACAGAGGTTTGTTGTCCGGTTTGTAGTTGACGCTGGGGTTGCGGTAGGGAGTTGAGAGCGGTGCGGGTGAGATGTTGAAGCGTTCCCCCAGCTGCTCTGCGTACTTGGAGGCTGACAGATGAATTGCTTCTGGCGCGTAGGTGATGTTCAGCCCCAAAAACTGCTTCACGTCGTGGTTGATGGTGATGTCCACGCGCTGCGCCAGGTTCTCCTCAAACTGGTTAAGGAGTTTGTTGCAGGTGCTTGTGTACAGCAGGTCGTCGACGTAGACTGTCAGGAGGATGTAATCGCCGCTGAAGTGAAGGCGATACATTCCCGGGTCGTGCGGCAGCTGCTT